TATTTATTTTTATTTTTCAATATTTTTAATATTTTTTATTTTTTACATTTTATTTATTTTTTTCATTTATTTATTTATTTATTTTTGTTTGGGAGGGGGGCGTTCGGCAGATAGTCCGACCAAGCTGATTTTCGGGCCAAAAGAAGATTTTAATGATTTTAATATATGCGTATATATATATANTTGGGAGGGGGGCGTTCGGCAGATAGTCCGACCAAGCTGATTTTCGGGCCAAAAGAAGATTTTAATGATTTTAATATATGCGTATATATATATATATATATTATATTTTACACTATAGTTATAGTGATATTATATTATTATTTACTATATTATATTCAACTAACAATAGAGAAAGAATGATAATTTTGTTGTCTTTAAAAACAGTGCCGCAATTATTAGACCCCGGCTGTGCTTAAAAATTAAAATTTGGTTCCCTTAATGTATTCTTCACTACCTATTCTTCTCTATCGCTCACTGGTTTAACTTATTATAATTTAGCTACATCACTGGATATGAGCCCCATTCTGTAGTCAGCCTAAATCTATACCGAGATACTTAGATACCGTTTGTAAATTTTTTAGTACCTTCATAAAACATTAGTAATTTTTATCGATTGTTATAAAATTATTATTATTAATTAGCTAAAGAAGAATTTTAAATGTCTAAAAAATAAATTCAAAAACTAAGATACAATTACGTTTAAGACTTCTCAATAGTCGCTTATTATTGCATAGTTATTTTTATAATGAGGGCTCAAACTGTTTTGCTCTAGACTTATAAATGTATTTATTACACCTAAAAAATGATTGAATAATGTGATTCAAATACGTCTTTGAACCATCACTGAGTTCATAAAATATTAAAATCATGTGCACATTAATTTTTAATGCTAAATCAATTAAAATCATTGATAAGACTGACATATTTTGTTTTGTTTTCACTTATAGCACACGAACAAGTATAAGTTTTTGTACGGCCTCAAGCGGACTTAAAAGCTATTGATTACATTTATAATCATAAAATGATAATTACTAATTTGATGGACTAAATTTTTGTAGGTATTATTTGATAGCATAGAAATTAATTTAAAAAAAATTAATAACTGTTGTTTATAACAATGTACTCATTTGTTTTTTTTAGTACAATTTTTCGAAAACTATTAATAAAGACAACTTAGGAACTCAATGCACTGTCTACAAAATACAAATCCACAAAAGTTATACTCTTTCAGTCTTTCAATAAATTTATAAATTTCGTTTGTTACAACACTGAAGTGTTACACTTAATAATAAATATGTCATATGTGTAAAACTACAGTAAAAGTACAAATATTAATGTGCATTTAACAGACATTTTTTTTATTATTCCAAGGTTTGTATTAGGTACTTATTATAATAAATAGAATCATTAAATATTTTATGTATTTTTAACTGATGTATTGGTAAATTGTTATAATTTTNTACCTACTTACAATTAAATACCGATCAAATATTAATAAATAATCTGTGTTTAATATATTTTGTTTTGTTTGTAATTTAAAAACTGTGAGTGCATTGTATTTTATACAGTACCTACCAATTAATTGGAAAGTCAGTATCTACCTAGATCTAATTTGAAATAATATGCATATACTAATTTTTTGTAAGTATAATATATGACTTATAACCTTCTTTTAAATATGATTAAAAAAAAATCAAAACACGCCTAAAATGATTTATTTTAAATTTCGAAACAATTTGTTTCGTAGAGAAATTTATTTATGATACAAGAAAAAAAAAACAACTTTGAAATCCGTTGAATTTTGAATGAAAGAAATCAATTAATACTGACATTAATACAAACAGTTTATTATACAATATATATATTAAAAATTATAACAATTTACCAATACATCAGTTAAAACAATGAATAATAATCGAAAATTGCATATGCCTATAAAGAGTTTAACACGAATCAAAATATTTTGAAAATTGTATGATGGTGTATACTGTATATACAACACGGATATAAACATTCAGTGAAAATTTAATGTATTTACTATATTTTTTTTAGTTACGTCAAAAATAAAGGGGGGGGGGAGGAAAAAGACCACGTTTGTTTTGTTTTTTTTAAATGTAATATAATAAGTACATGTAAAGCATCTTATAGGTTGCTATAATAATATCATGTCATTATCTGTTATCTACGTTTTTCTTATTTGTATAATTTTGTAAAAGCCGTCTGGCGTTGATTATAATAAATAAATAAGTAAATAAAAAAAACCAACATTTGTTGAAAACCGAGTTTCGGTTAAGGTTAGACTAAAAATTCCAGTTCTTCCTTAATTTTTTATTTGTTTTTCTTTCCGCTTTTGCATAGTATTGGACATTTTTTACTTTTCATTCCCCAAAGTACTAATAAAGTAGATTCACTTTCCTACCAGAAAAGTTGCTGTTGAAGAAAACCGAAGCATTTTTACTGCCACCAAAACATAATGACGGACACAAAAAAAAAATTAAAAAACACACATCATTGTAAAATCAATACATCCATCGCTCTACTCATCATCTAAAATACACAAATAGAAAACTTACATGTACGTACTCACAAGAACAGCTTAAATAAAACAGTTATAGATTAAATTTTAACTTATTATGACAGAGGGGTCAAAAATACACTAATGTCCCTCAGTTAAATATCTAAGAGGAAATTTCCCTTCCTTGCCCCCCCCCCCCAGATTAAGCCTATGGGTTTAATGGTTTATACTATATGTCTTTAAAGGTGTCACCCTATGGATGTGTTAAATTTAAACTAAATTATGATATAAAACTCATCATTGCAACATCACAAAAAAAAATTAGTTAGGTATTAGCCTATTATATATAATATATATTATATTACGAAGTATAATATATAGGTATATTATCATTTGTTGATGTTACATTACTGCAGGGCTCGTAAGTTCATGCACTAAAAAAAGCACAAATAAGCATGCATTCATGCACTAAAAAGTTCGAAATTTAGCATTTAAATGCCCTTACATTTTTAAATTATGCACTCAAAATATGCATTATGTAAAATATTTAAGAGCAAATTTTAAATTAATAAGAATATATCCATTAATTTTAAAAGTATTTTATTCCTTTTAATTTTTACTTGTGAAGTGCATATAATCATATGGATTTGTCATCTTTATTAATCTTAATTAGGTAGTCATTTTTTGACTAATTTTTGTACACCATTATCCTGCACCTACAATGAAAATATTTGGAATGAAATATTAGTTATTTGACAATTTCACGACTCGTACAGTTAAACAACTCATCGGCGACTGGCGTGTGCAAGAAAACTATAATGTACCAGTGTACAAAATTGTAGATGCGGATTGGTAAGAAACATTGTACAGGTATCGTTTCGATGAGGGACTATAATACACGGCGGAGGATGGTAGTGGTAGCTATAAAATTGTTTCCGCGGTACTAAGTAAAAAACATAAAATCTAAATAGGGAAATACTAGAAAAGTAAGTAGTCACACGAAAATAAAAATAAATCAAAACACTATAATTCAGTAAACGGGAAAGTAAATAAGAAACAAGAAACATTTAAAATATTTTTCTAAACAATTTTTTTATGAAATAATATGCGCTATAAACTCTAAAAAAAAAACGATTATATGCTAAATATGCCTTTTTACACCCAAAACATGCAAAAACATGCACTATTAAACTTCATATTATTATTACTATTGTTATGAAACGGATTTGTATCTCGGTTAGCATATTTTTCTGTGTAGCAAAAAACACATGCAAATGCATGAACTTACGAGCCCTGTACATTAGTATCAATGTAGTTTAATTTATTATTAGACATTAGAATATAGTGCCTAATAATATATGAATATTAATTTTTGACTAAAAATTGCATTTGAAAATTTCATTGTGTGTTTATTCAATATAATAAAATAATTAGGTACCTACTTAAAAGTTTAAGTAACCACATGAATAATATTTTTATAGACTTCGAAATACAAGAGTGTAGGTACCTACTAAAATATATACACTATTAAACTATTTATATATATATATATATTATTTTATTATTTTTGTAATTTTGGGTGGATTACGATATGGTATACAGTATAATATATTAGTTAATATTGGTTGCTGTAATTGTAATACCTAATTAGTAGGTATATACAAATACACAATACATTATTTACACATACATATATAATAGGTATAAATGTATATAATTATGTTGTTATATTAAAAAATGTCCATAATATATATATATATATCTCCGCCTCGAAAAATATGCACTTAATGTTAAGTGTAACGTATTGTTTATAGACCAATCACCAAACAATTAATAATGAAGTTGTAGTATATGTTACTTAATAACTACTACTTTGAAATTATATTCAAGGACCTATTAATCAAAAATATACAAATTATTTTCAAGTATCATAATTAACCAATTAGGTATAGACATTGCTATAGTCACAGTAAGAGTAACCATGTATTTAATCCATATTTTTGGAAAATTATTTCTGTCGTATTATAGTATTGTATAGTTTAAAAAGAAACACAGTTTTAATTATTTTAATATATACTTGAGAGGCCTTCAAAACATTGAATTGCAAACAATTTAACGTCAAAATGTTAAACGTCAAAGTAGTGCGAACGATAAACCCGTGGCCCACCCTGTACTTACTTATAAACAAACTATGTTATGAGAATAAATTATATATATTATCTATGGCGAAAGTAATAATCATCAGTACAAGTATATACCTATATTAATATAATTATACTTAGAATTGACTATTAATTCAATGTAGGAAAAAAAATTGAAGGGATCTGCAAAACAATAATTAAAAATCAATCATATAATATTTAAATAGTACATCGTACAATAATGCATAATGATTCATATGAGTACATTATCGTGGTAAACGTCTCTTAAGTACAATTTTAAATTAGACAAAATTAAAAATGAATTATATTATACATACCTACTAGGTTTTATATTTAAAATCTAAACATCTACCAGGTTTTTCACTAAACATATTTATTACATTTTTACTAAAATTAATATCATCCAAAATCATTTTATTTTCAATTTTTATCATCGTAAGAGCATTTAATATTTCTTCAACCAAAGTGTTATCTAGGCACGTCTTAATGCTTCTTAAAGTTGAAAAACTGTTTTCCTGTCCAGTGGTCATTGGAGGAACTGTTATTAATAGTCTTAAAAGCAAAATAACTTCTTTAAAAGTATCAATCATATTATTCTTCAGCATATATTGATATGTTGGAATAATACCAGATAAAGAACGAAATTCATCTCTATAATACATGACTACTAGTTCAGTTCTCAATCTATCTTTATCGAAAAATGGGTAACAATGAAACGTACACTGAAGTAATTTAATTGGAAATTTTTCCTTATAAACGGGGTATTTTTCAGACTGAAATAGCTTAACGGCGGACAAATGTTTAGTGAACTTTAAGCGATCTTTAGTTGTGTCAATTAAAATATTACAAATTTCAACTGCCAATTTTTTTCGAGATTCATTGAGCTCGTAGTCATGGATACTAAGATTATTGTAATGCTCGTCTAAATTTTTTCTTTTAACGTCCACGTCCGGCAAGTTCGAAGCCAATTCAATAATATCAGGAACCCGATTACGTACGTTTGATATATTTTTTTCGAACTGTTGAACCAAAATCGGTATACGTTCGTCAGCAGAGCCGTCCAATGCGGCGGTTTGCACACTGTCGTGGAGACTGTGGATGTTTGGCATTATTTCATAGAAGACCGCCGACCACTGTACAAACACCGAATCGCTCAGTAAACGGTTTATCGATCCCGCCTGTTTAATTATTGACGTCTGTTGAGATGTTTCTATTATGATGTCCATACACTGCATCATCTCACTTCGATACACGTAGACCGTGTCCAGAGTGCCACCCAACCTGGTGAAATTGCATCCAGTCTGCGATGGCCGTTTGCCCACTATTCCGTCTAGCACGGCAACCCTTTGCGGCGAATTCAAAAAGAATTGAGTTATGTCCGACAAATCCGAAAAGAACATTTGGACTTCTCTGTCACCAGAAATCGACTGAGTCATTTCAATGTCCAACTGGTGCGTGTGGCAATGCACATTGTACGCATACGGGTACATTTTCTTAACTCCAGCGTTTACTTTACTTATTACCGCTGCACCGCCGTACGATTGAGCTACTACTTTGTACGTTGCGCCTTTTAAGATCGTGTTCATTTCGGACAATATTGTCTGTGTCAATGATTCTGTCGTTATGTTGGTTGGGTCGCCGGTTCCGTTGGCAGCGTTGAAAAAGCCCCAGAAACGTTCGACGGGCTTACCTTTTAATTCATAGCGGAGAAGTACGACCAAATGTACGGTGCTTGAAACATGAGTGGTCCCGTCAACAATTATTGAAATGAATGGCACCATTTCAATTTCCGATAAAATTTTCTGCCGGGCTACAAGGAGTATGCAATTCAATAAATCGTTGTGGATTGTCATCGATGTCCAATTTACGCTAGTCGAGTTTTCCAAATAGCAATGCAGACTTATGTCACAACCTTTGCATAGTTCAATAGCGCCTGAGAATACGGCATAGTTATTTTCGTGGGTCGTTGTATTATTGGCACCACAATCCTTCAGCGGGCGGCTATTCTTTCCACAAAACAGTGCACATTTGAGATATTTTTCTAGAATATATCGGTTTTTTTCGATTTGCTCGTTATTGTGGAGATGTATTTTTTGATGATTCAGATTTTGAACGGAATTATTATTTATCGACGATTCCATTGTACGTTAAGTTATGTTATTATGATAGTATTCAAGTGATTAAAAAAAAAATATAATATTACAAATCTAATAGTTACCTACGTCGCGCCAACAAAACATATTTCATAAAAACAATATTACTTTATTAAACTTATTTCATTATTATTGAGTCATATAAGTAATGGGACTTATAAGTATTTGACAACGACTGATTTACCCGGTTGGCGGTTACGGGCTATAGGCTGTAGCTATCCATATACAATATAATATGCTCCTCGCTCGCTGTCCTTTTGACAGGCAGGCAGTGATTAAGTCGATTGACGAAGACGGATGCGTCATTCACAATCGTCTCCTCTTCTTTAATTTGTATTCTTCATCACATCAGCATCAGCAGGTATATCTATAATATAATAAAGAAAATATTAACTTTTTAAAAATATTATAACAACTTACAATATTAACATTTAATAATACCTATACCTATACCTAGCTATTAGGCTATATTGCTAGTTATTTCACTTTTTATTGAATTTGTCATTAATGCGCATCCTGACAAATACATTATCCTACCTATTTATTAAAAGTGGTACATCTTATAGTCAATATCTATAGTATCTAAGTATCTTGCTTTTCATTCATTCTCAATAGCATTACAATACTACGTGGGAATGACCTAGCCATATTTTATTTTAGTCCTCTGAACTGTAATATATTTAATTTTAAAATGACAAGTCAAAATAATTAATCAAATAAAAATAACTTATTAAATATTCATTGGTCGTTCTCTGGTAAATTATGAAGAATACTTTTTCAGAATGAAAATCGGAGTATTATAACGTATTATTTTAATTAAAGTCATCCGTCTAAGTTTAAAATAAAATATCATTCCATGGTCTCACAGAAATAGATGATTGACAATTTGACATGCAAGATGTGCACTCGAGTTCATTAAATTGTCCGCGGTTCACCATACACGTTTACCTACTATATACACGTAAAAATGTCTAAAGATCATTTAAGTCAAATGTCAGAAATAAATATTAAATAAATACGCGACTCTCAGGATTCGAGCACTTAACGATTCCACATTTCAAGATAGTTTTGAAAAACAATATTAAAACAAATATTATACCTACATCTGACAGTTATGTATGTTTCACAGATCAAATAGATCTTAAAATGTTTAAGGTTTTTAATGGATGTTGTGATTCTACCACCACAGAAAAAAATATTTTTAAATATAGTTTTTTAGCTAAGCATTTTGAAATATAAGTCTTATCAATAGTCTTAAATTAGGTATTAAAAACATTTATTTATAAAACATTTATCAGAATTATATTCCACCATAGACATAGAGAATACTGAATATGTAAAATATATGATATTGTCTTTTAAAAGTAGTGAAAATATTGCATGCTCTATCTTCATTTAATTTTTGAAATAATTGAGGACAATTTCAATGTTTTTGTGTACCTACATGCATTTTAATTACTATAAAATGTTATGTATATTTTCTTAGGATTATAAAGTTTTTTAAATTTATTTTATTTATTTTTTATTGGTCTTGAAATTAATAATTTCCGCTTCGACATCCATGACCTAATGGATAATAATAGCGTTACAAAAAAAAAAAGAATTAAATTAGTTATACAATGAAACAATTGGCTCTTATAAATAGGTATGTACATGGTAATATTAGTGTAGTTATCTTATAATAATTTGTAAATTTGTGATTTTTTGAAGAAGTCTATTGTGTTAATTCTTTTTCCGAATTTGGGCCTAGACATTCTCCAATGTCGTGGCTTATGTATAATTATGCTTTAATTTTATGTTAATTATTTATTGTAATTGTATTTAATAGTTAGCTTTATAATTTTTAGTAGTACTATGCATTTTTAATAAGTCATTTGCGTTTGAGACGACGGAAGGGGTTTTTGTATACTTATAGTGTAAAATAAAGATGTGTCCCATTATTTGGTTGTTGAATTTTTTGAAGATAACCCAATAAAAGTAATTCTGACTGGTTGGTTTAAAACAAAAGGCACATGTATGTATGACCAACCACCAGAAATCCTAACATTATAAGAAAATGTGTTGAACTCAAAATTATTCATAAATCATAATGTTATAATTGAATACAGTTATCACGCAGCTAAAGAGTTAAAAATATGAAGATATATTTTTAAACATAATTTAGTTAATCTATCTGTCCTGTCACGGCGTTGCCCGTGTATTATATAGCTATATAAAAGACGGGAGGTCTTTTACCCCCATAGAGGTTAGGTAATTTTGAATAATCCATTAAAATAAAAATAATAGTAATAATATTTACAAATGATTCTAATGATTCTATACACATATTGTTATTAAAAAATGATTCTATAGTTATAATTATAATTTGTATAGTTCATTATTTTGATTGTGTACACGCCGATGAGCGTGTTTAACCTTGTTTGGCAATTTACTAAAATTCAATTTTATTAAACCTGATTTGCCCGATATTTAATGGCAACTAAAAAATTAAAATAAATACCAAGTTCTGCTAAAAAATTAAGAAGTTGCGGGGAAAATTAGTTATTAATTAAAATAAACATGCAAATTGTATACCTATACACATATTGTATGGCGCGGCAGCCCGCGGGTGACTAAGTTTGTTTAAAATTTTAAGAATGATTGCTTAAACTAACCTGATGAACAAACACTTTTAAAAAAAATTACTATAAAATTATTCATTAATCTTCCAATTGATTCCACTGTGAAATGAGCACTAAGAAATTATATATTTACTGTTTTATATCATAGATAGAAGATAGATGGATCTGTTTTAAATGATGACCAATAAGCGTGATACCTCGACTAAGTGAAATAGGAATTTATTTTTATATACATAGATATATTATATAATATATAGATAGTTTGTAGAATCTTACTTCTCAGAACAGTTCATATCTTAACTCCGATCAAACACATAGTTAGACGGACAAAAAGTTATGGATGCATGTCGCAATGGAAACCCACAGGTCACCGTGTTGTAAAATATATAGATATATTTAGATATACAGTTTGTACGTAAACAATTTATTTTTGCCGATTTCAACCCTTTAAAATCAAAATTTTGAAAGATTCTTTCTTAGTGGAACTTGACATAAAATATAAATCCATTCTCAAAATTTCAATTCGATAACTCAAATAGGTTCGGTTCTCCGTTGATTATTGCTAAAGTAACTTTCCTTTATACATAGAGATAATATTATAAAAACATTTGTATTTGTTTATCGTAAGAATTAATAAATAATAATATACAACTGAGGTGACCAACGACTGTTAGTACTCTTAGTAACAGTGCATTTAAAAATTGTGACTAGAACTTATACTACCGATAGATAGTAACTGCAACATTTCAAACCGTTATATTATTTGATTTTACTTCATAAACACCACGAATATATTCAGGAGCCATACTTAAGATGGTATTTTTATTTTACATTTTACAATTTAAATGCATAATAAATTGTTATTCAAACACAAATTCATTTTTAAGCTCATACATTATAATATATTTGAATTAGAAACATTTTATTGTTATAAACTTACAAGCTACCTATCTTTAAAATTATATAATATATTTAAAATACCTTTATTATATAGATTAATTTATTTTTACAGATTTCAACCCTTTAGAATCAAAATTTTGAAAATCGGGCGACGGGGTGACACTTAGGAAGGTATTTGGAACAATTCTGTGAAAAAAAAATGGAAAAAAGTTAAATAGCAACACCACAAAATTGGTACATAAAAAAGGCCAGTTCTTTTATATATATAAGGATTACTGTGTATTAAATGCTATGTAATCAAATATTTTATAAGATTGGTCCTTTATAAGATGTATTATTGTAGTTGGTTATTGTTAGTATAAATGATATGTGTTGATATTCCAGATTTATTATTTAAAGCCAGCAAAATGGTAAAAAAGGATTAATTAACACTGACAATCATCCACCAATGACAATATCTAATTAAAACCTGAATAAAGAACAACTAAAAATGTATAAAATCTGTATATTTCATCCTTGTGTCTTATATTTTTGGGTGTTTTATCTCATAAAAATATAGCTTTTTTTATAAAATCAAATCTTTATACTAAACTTTCTAACTTAAAGTCTGAAGATGATAACTGCAGCAAACATTACGGACCAAAAAAAATCCTCAAATACAAAAATATGAGTTAATGTTTTAAAATAATAGCTTCATCTATATTATTTATTAATATGAATGGTTTAAATGAAAGGTAAGTAAATCAAATATTTTTTTATTGTTTACATTTTTTAAATTTAATGACATTATAATTATAGTAGTGTAAGAATTTTATAACAATAGTATCTAATTTTCTATATATTTTTTTTAATGATTGATCAAACAAATCTTGATTATGATGTTTACTTTGATAAAAATTCTGCAAATATAATTTTATTGATACTCTCAGTAGACATAATGTAATAAAATCAACTGATCTAGAACTTGGTAATTATATTGCATTCAATTTTATTCTAACTATGTAAACAATGAAAAGAGTTATATTTCTAACTGGATTATAGATAAAGAAAGCTCAGAAGTTGTTAAGCAGGGACAACTCAAAAGTCAGTATGCCATCAACTAAAACCCCAGAAACTGTTAGTTTATATCAACTCCAAACGGTCAGTGTGATAAAATAATAAGAATTGTAAGATATCCATTTTAATCTTGCATTATTTTGTATTTAACACGTTGACTGCATAAAAAATAATAAATCATTGACTTACAACATATTTTGGACTGCAATTTATGGTGTATGTGTATGTAGTATATGTATCAGTGGTTATATCAGTATTAGTTATGATTTTGTTATGAGGGGGGGGGGATATATAGTTTGTTGGATAAAAACAAAGTGGAGGGCTCTGTCTCCAACACCCCCTTAAAGAGGTTTTATTATTGTTTTAATAATTCAGTACATAATTACATTTCACTTAAAAATTGTATTAATATTGTATCAATTGTTTGATTTATAAGAATTGTGTAAGTGGTTATCAGTTCATTATCATCACAATCACTGCAAATTGAAAAAACACTTGTTTACCCATAGGTAATATAAGTATAATATTCTGCTAGCTTATCATGTAGTCTACTAGCATGAACTAAGATATAACATCTAGTTATGGATAATCTTAAATCTTTGTCAGTTAGGCATTAAACATAAAAAAAGCTCTGGGGGGAGTGGGGGATCTACACACATAGCAGCCTCCCCACCATAACTATGATTAACTTCTCATACACTGCCAAAAAAAGCAAAAGAAAAATGGTGTCGGGGTTGTTGTTTTGTGATTTTTGGAAAGTATATTATAATACAGTCAAAACTCTTTATAACGAAACTCTTTACAACGAAAAACTCTATATAACGTAAACATTACATAATAATGGTTGGTTTGCTATATAACCCATTAGACAATTCATTCTCTATAACGTATTAGTCACTCTCAATAACGAAACAATACTTTATGTTTCATAATACAATTTACGTGTTATCGTATCCATTACATATATAAACTATAAAAATAATC